AGAGGACAAGGGCAACTAGGGGCTTGGGGAAGGATTTAACCCTTCCCGAGGCTGGAGAACGAGCCGAACCAGACCAAATTCCCCTCCGGAGCGCTTCGGTGGCGGGTGTGGGCGGGCTGGGTGACACCGAGCTGATGAGTGACCAGGGGGAAATGGGGCTGGCTGCAGCTCTGTGCTCATTGAGCAGATGTCCCCTCTGCTACGTGCTCGGAGCCCCCGGGTGGGGCTGGGGGCCGGGGCAGCCATGCCGGCTCCCGCTCCCGGCAGCGGCTCCCGCCTTTGCCCCTGCCCCGGGAGGGCAGCGCAGGAGCGGGAGCAATCGGCTTAACCCCTGCGGCACCTGCCTGAGCCATGCGCAACACCTCAGGGAGAAGCTGCCCTACGCCCTCCATGGGCCCCGCTAGTGCCGGAGCTTTCCCCGGGGCCCCGACGGGCAGCAGCGACCCCGCGGAGCGGGCGGGCGGCGGGAGCCCAGAGCGACTTCCCCAAACTTTTGTCCCGCTCTGACAAGAAGCTCGAGCTCTTCGTTTGCTTAGAGCCTCAGGATCCCTCCGGCCTGTGGGCAGGGGCGGTGCGATCACGGTTACAAATGATCCTGCTCGAGTCGCACAGTCCCGGCCCGTCTGTTTTACCCCCCAACAGCCTCCCTCCGCCACCGCAAAAAAAAAAAAAAAAAAAAAAAAAAAAAAAAAAAAAGTGTTAATTGCTGTAAAGTTTCCGAGCACGTGGATAATTTACTTTGACTGCTGGGTTTTAATTAAAAGCAAACTTATTTATGTTTCTGATGTTTATATTACGCGATTTAATTACGTTTAGAGGCAGCGTCGCACTTTTTTTCCCCCTTCCACCCTAAATCACATTTTCATTAAAGGTTTTAATAAGAAAACTCACTTGACCACTATTCATTATCTAGTCCCCTCCATGCACACAAGTTCACTTACCCATTCATTTATTCACTTACTCATTCCAGCAGATCCGCTGCAACTGCTGCTAGCAGGGATGTGAACACTCATAATTATTTGTCAAAGTCTGGAAAGTGTATTATCCCTTCTTCTAGTGGTAATTAGTTACCATAGCATCTAATACGTAAATGTGCCCAGAGCACACCATTAACAGTTAAGCGGAGGATTCAATTTAACACATGATTATATCTTTCATAAGTCATTACATTAGGAAAGCCAATGTCACTCACGCTGGGACAATCTAGGCTCCGAGCCGGGGTAAGGGGCTGGGGAAGGGAGCCAGGCTGGGCGGCGGGGGCAAAGGGAGCTCCGGATGAGGCTGAGGGAGATCCCGGTTCGGTGGGGCAGTTGGGAGCGGGGAAGAAGCTCTTTTGAAAGGGTACATGTTCATTTCTGGCTAAGCGATCTGTCAGGCTTTAAGGGGGGCGGGGGAGCCTCTCTCCTCCCCCCAGCCCGGCACACATTACGCTTGCATTGGCAAGACCTGCTCAGGGACTGGCCCAGTGGCTTCGCGCCGCTTCTGAGGGAGGATGCCCGGTGCAGCGCGACGGGAGAGCGGGGCCAGGAGCGGTAGCACCTCTACCCTGCACGGACCCCTCGCCCCTCTCCGAAGCAATCGAAGAGGAAGCAAGAGAGCCCAAAGTCGGGCGGCAGCGGTAGCCAGGGATGACAAAGATTTTCATTCCGCTGTCCCGTCGCTCCGAAGCAGAGGCAGGCGAGAGAGCGGACAAACCTCTCCGTTTTTCCACAGACCTCGCTCCCCAGAGCCGGCCGGCAGCACTCCGGGCCAGGCCAGCACATTTCGGACCCTGCCCAGGGGAGCCGGGAGCCAGGGCATGGGCCTCCTCCAGCCCCTTGCCTTCTCCCCACCTGAGGTCCCGGCCGCTCCAGGAGTTTGCTGGGACCTGGCTTGTCTTCCCCCACCCCACTGCCGGCCAAAGCCGAGCACCGCCCGCGCCTTCCAAGGGAACCTCTCCGGGATGGAAGCTCGCTCGGTAGACAGAGACATTAAGCGGTAAAAATCGCAGCAAATGTGTCCTGCGATGTTATATGCACGAACACACACTCACACGGACACACACGCGCGCACACACAGGCACGCACCACGCCAAGCTGGTGGCGGTGGTTAATTCCTAATCAGAATGATGGACAGCAGAGACAGAACAATACAAACTAATGGCTGTGTTGCTGATCACTTTACCCCTTGATTAAAGACACCCAATTATGGCGCAGAACAGTGTCGTAATTATGTTCCTTAATCACATCCAGGAGGTTTAATTGCCTTAACGATGTGTTTCATTAAATGAATTTAGGTATTATAGTCGACAGTTTTCATACACAGTTGTTTTCAAATTAACATAATATTAGACATCGTCATGGAAATTGTTTTAATAATCATAATTAGACGCACCCAGCCTTTGTCTAGTAAATGCTGAGAGACGCTTCTCCTTGCGCCTGGGGGCTGATCTGCCCACCCTCTCTGGGCTGCCTTCCCACAGCTCCGTGGCACTTTACAGTTATGTTTCCTGAAAAGTTACAGGTTCTGATTAATCTTTTTTGATGGGAAGTGGAGCAGAAAATATTTATCCCCTTCCCCCGCCTGTAGTGCTGCCGTCGGGAGAGGCGGCTCCGCGGACGGCCGGCGCCGCCCGAGGGGAGGGGGGAGCCGCAGGACCGGGACCCCCGGCCCGGGCTTAGCGCCGAGCACACAGCCTGGGGGGGCTCCCTGCTTCCCCTGCCCTCGGCTTTGGGGCAGGGCGGAGGGTCCACAAGGGGAGGGGCGGCTCCAAGGCTCGGCGGATTGGGAGGAGGAGCGGGGGGGGGCGGTCCTGCAGCGTGCCCCGCGGCACATCCAGCCCCACGGCTCGGGGCGGGCCGGGCCCGGCACTGCCCCACGGCCGCCGCGGGAGCGCCAGAAACGCAGCGAGCGAGGAACTTCTCGCCTCCCTGCCTGGGACACCCTGAGTGGGGTGATGGGGAGGGTACTGGGGCGCACTCAGAGCAAGGCAAAGGAAAGAAAGCTACCCACCCCCACCGTCCACCTCCTTAAATCTGGATAGATATGCTTAACAAAGCACAGCGTAATACAAGCGTTTGTTCAAAATATTTTAATAAAGATTCTTTCCGACATAGATACACATACAAACGGTCGTACATTGCTGTCATAATCTGATTGACCTATTTAATATATATCACTCTTTACACATCCGTGACCTGCCAACAGATCCATCATGGCTCCTATTTTGCCATTCAACCTGACAGTCCGAATTTGTATTATCTGCAAGTAGTGGAAAATAGCAGGACTAGTTCTTGGAAAAAAAAAAAAAAAAAAAAAGAAAGAAAATAATAAAAAAAAAATCTTGATTTACAAATGGCAGCGAGACAGCCACCCAGCCATGCAAATGCAAACTCAAACTGAAGGCTCACTTTGGGTAAATAGCTACTTCTTGCTTTTCATCGCTCATTTTTCTTAAAAAAATAAAAATCATAAAACCAAACCAACAAACAAAACCCCCCCCAAAAAACCAAAATCACGAACCAAAAGCCCACCCCACACATCACTTGAAAAAGGAAGAGAAGAATTCCACGCGTTCTGTAAATTAGCCTAAAGTATTTTAAAGTATTTCAACTTAAATAGTCATCCACAGAATAATTTACATACACATTAAAAGCGGTTTAAATTCTACCTCCGAAAACACAGCGCCTGGGAAAACATTGGCTTGGCAAGTGTTCTTTTAGCAGCTATTGCTCTGATGCCTTGTAAAAGTAAATAGTTATTACTTGTTATAATGCAATGAATACCCTTTCAAAAATCAGTTGGTTGAGCAATTAAGAATACACTTTTCCTGTAATTTTTGGACTGAAGCAATTTATTAAAGCTCAATTTAAATACAGGGATGATGCAACTTAAAATCCAGATGACCTTTCATAAACCTAAGCAGCTCGGATACATCAACATTTCTGGTTATATGTTGTTGGCAAATAAATGTTTTAAACACTTGGCACACGGTTTAAGTTAATCCATAAACAGAATTTTAGAAGCATTTAAAGTAACTGCACATAAGACCCATGACCTTAACACATGATAAATATTGTTGGCGTGGAAGGGTCATTTTAAAGAATAACAAATAAATAGCATGTCTTGTTTATACATCATTGCAAAGTGGAAAGAAACAAGGTGCACATAAATATTTCTTTTAAAAATGCGATACTTTCAGCCACACGGAGTAGGGGTTTTGATCGGTTATTTTTTGTCTTTTTTTTTTTTTTTAACTCTCTCGATTTTTTTTTTAAATCACTCTCACCAAACTTCGCGCATTTTCACAGGATCAAAGTTTAGAGACGATAAAAAATACGAAGTCTTCCATAGCAATGATCCAGTCTCTTTGTTTCTGCGAGTCACTTAAATAATAAGTTTACATTTCAAGTTTGTTTGTTTCCTGGCTCAGAATAATAATAATAATAATAATAATAATAATAATAATAATAATAATAATAATAATAATAATAATAATAATAATAATAATAATAATAATAATAATAATAATAATAATAATAATAATAATAATAATAATAATAATAATAATAATAATAATAATAATAATAATAATAATAATAATACTAATAATAATTAATTTTAAAAAAAAAAAATCTATGTTCAAGTGCCCTCTCTGATTTGTCCCCGGCGATAGCCCCGGCTCCCAGCCCGGCCTGCTATTTCCCGGCCTCTCCTTTGTCCGGACGCGCAGCGAGCCCCCCCGGCGCCCCCCGGGCCGGGCCTTCCTTCCTTCCTCCCCGCGGCACCCCCGGCCCCGCGCCCCCTCCCCGCCGCCGCACGCACGCTGGCTCCCGTCGCGGTCCCGTCTCGGCGGCAGCCCAGAAGAGCGAGGCGAGGCGAGTCGGGGCAGAGGGCGGCGGGGCCCGGGCAGCGGTCAGTCCCTCCGCCGCCTCCGCGCCCCCCGGCCCGGGACCGGACCGCCTGCTGTCGCCGCTCCCCGGGGCCGCGGCGGCGGCGGGGGGCGGCCACGGCGGCGGCGCTTAAGGCTTCTCCGTGCACTGTTTGCAGAGGCTGGAGGAGACGCTGTTGAAGATGGCACATTTCTCCGGGCAGGAGGTGGCGGGGGGCAGCCCGGCGCTGAAGGGGTAACCGGCCGCCTGCTCGTAGGCGCCGAGGGCGGGGTGCAGCGCCGCCGCCGCTGCCGCCGCCGCCGCAGCTGAGCTGGGCAGGGAGGCGGCCGAGATGGCCTGGCCCTGGTTGAGATAAGCCACCAAGCGCCGCATCTCCTCCAGGGCCTGCGCCTGCATCAGGATGTAGTTCTTGGCCAGGAGGAGCGTGGCGATCTTGGAGAGCTTCCGCACCGAGGGACTGTGCGCGTAGGGGATGACCGCCCGCAGCTCGTCCAGCGCGTCGTTCAGGTCGTGCATCCGCCGCCGCTCCCGCGCGTTGATGTTGAGCCGCAGCGCCTTCTGCTCCTTGGACTTCTTGCTGCCGCCGTGCCCGTGGCTGTTGGAGCAGCTGCCCTCGGCCGCCTTCAGCCCCCCGCCCCCCCCTCCGCCGCCGCCCGCTGCCGGCGAGGCGACGCGCGGGTCCCCCCCGGCGCCGCGCAGCACCAGCTCGCAGCGGCCGTCGCTGTCGTCGTCGGGGCTCTGCTCGCCGCCGCTGCTCTCGGCCACCGAGCTGCGGCTGGCGCTCTCGCCGTACTTGACGCAGACGGAGCCCGGCGGCAGCGCCAGCGGGTCGCCGCCGACTCCGGGCTGCAGCAGCGCCTCGGGCTCCGACGCCTCGTAGCAGGCGAGCGGCGAGGGCTGGCGGTCGCGGGGGTGGGAGAGGTCGAGCCCCGGGGGCGAGCGGAAGGCGGACTCCATGCGCTTGGCCGAGGCGGCGAGGCTCTTGTGGAAGAGGTCCTCTTCTGCGGGCAGCCCCAGCGCCCGCTCCATCGGCGCCCCGCTCGCCTCCGCCTCCTCCGCCCCCCTCAGTTCCCGGCCCGCTCCTCCAAGGCTCCGCGCCGCGGCGGGCGGCTCCCCGGCGTCCCGCTGGCAGAAATCGTTTCCCGGCTCCCGCCGGGGCTGCGCCGTGCCCGGCGCCGCGGCTGCCCCTTCTCCGGCTCCGGCGGCGGCTCGGACTGCGGCTCCGGCGGCTCCGGCTGTGGCTCCGGCTCGGGAGGCGGCTCCGGCTCGGGCTGCGGCTCCGGCAGCGGCTGTGGCTCGGGCTGTGGCTGTGGCTCCGGCTGCGGCTCCGGCTCGCCCTCAGCAGGCGCCGCGCTGGGGCATTGTGCGCTGCCAGTGGAGCCGCTTCCACCGTTTATCTTGCTTGGATTCACCTTCAAGAGATTTCCGGACCCATCAACCAGCAGCCGCCGCAGACGGGGGAGTCTTTTACATCATTATCTCTGAGAGTAGGTTATTATGAAGAAGACTCGCCTGTTGGGACAGAGCTTTCTACCCAATCAGGTTAACGTTTTAATTAATAGGATTAAAACGGTAACAAACAATCCCAGGCGCTATCTGGCCCTGAGTCTGAATAGTTTCTTTTCCCAGGTCTGAAGACAGGCAGCAGCTAGAGCTTTATAAGAGGCGCCTGCTCCATTATTCTCCCTGCCATCTGTATACACAGCTTAACGCATATGTTTGCAAGACGTTGTGTCCTGTTAGTAACCCAACAACTGCCTTTAGCTTGACATGTGTGGCGACTTTCACTCATCAATGAGCACACTAAAAGCCCTACTTAGATCGAAGGATGTTCTTTGCCTCCTTCAGCAAATTACAGCCCTGCACTGCAGAAAAGCCCACTTCAACACTTCTCCTTCCGAGTGCTGCCAGCAGACTTCTGCTAACTTAGCCGTGGAGTCAGGAGTGACACCCTCTCCCCCCAGCCCACCCACCCCCTGCATTTACATTAACTTATAGCTCCCTCCCACCCCCACCCGTCCTCCCAAAAAGCATCGCCTGGGAAAGAAAAACATAGAATTAAAAACCCCGGGAGCAGCCCCAGCCGTCGTGCCCACTCCTGCCCACCGCCTAAGTCCACATTACTTCCTTGGGAGGCGGGTGGTCCCCAGTCCTCCGTCTCCCCACCCCCCCCCCCACCCCCCTCGAACAAACAGAGACCAAACTACGGGGAGGTTCCCCTCCTCCTTCCCTTATTCCTTTTCAAGTAGCAGATTGCTGCTTGCGAGTGATTATCCCCCGTGTCCCTATAAAAAACATAAATCCCCATCAGTTACCTTGAAAATGAACGGATCTGGTGAAAAGAGAGGGCGGGAAGAGAAAGGGCAAAACCCACCAAACTTTTTAAAATTTATTTTTTACTGTGACTGACCAACTCTTTGCAGGTCCGTGCCCTCCTGCCTCCCTCCAGCGAGCCCGACTCTGCTGGGGCACCCCAGCTCTTCTCCCCAAAGCCGGGATACCGCCGCCGGCGTCAGGGCGAGGCGGCCTCAGTCATCCGGTTACCCCGACCCCCTGCTCCTCTCCCGGGGCTTCTCCTCGGAGCCGGGAACTCTCTCCTCTGCACTCTTCCAGAAGCCGAAGTGGAAACCCGAGGGTCGGTCTGAATTTTGTCCCATTGCTCCTCTGATGCTTGAGGCGAGCAGCTCTCTCTCGCCTTTCTGTTAGCACTCAGAGTATTTAGTGGCAGGTTTTCATTCTTATGACATCAGTAAAAAACAATATTTCCTAACACTTCCAAATCATTCTTATGTGGCAGGATTACTGAAGGCTATGAAATTTTTTGGTTTCTCTGGTTTCATTAAAAACCTTTTAATTGTGTCTTTCGGAGTTGGCCCCAGGTGTTGGACTCTTTTCATTACATTTTGCTCTAATGTGATGAAATTCTAATTCTCTCCTTACCATATGGTTAAATTTCCCCACTGAGAATTAGTTGAAAAAGGAGAAATAATCTATTAATCTCTGTAATAGATTCACAAATGAGGTTTGCCACAGAACCCGTTTTTGAATGGTAATATCAGAACAGTTGGGTGCCTTGTTTCAGGAAAGAAAGGACCAGGCGACAACAGAAAACGTTTGAATTTTCACCTGGAAAGAATGAAAAGAAGCCAAGCTGCAGATTTCAGAGTAATTGACTGAGATTTCATCTAGCGAGGACATGACTACAATACAGACCTTCCTCACCTCGTGTCTCCGGATCAGAGGCGAACATACAAGCCGAGCCCTCCGAAGAGGGAGGGTCTCACCCCCCGCCCCCCAGCCCCATTTGGCTGCTGCGCTTGTCCCTGGTCGCCGTCCAAGCGCACAGTCACCGAGCGCCTCGCTCCCCTCCCCCTTTCCGAGGGATGGATGTCACCGTTAACCTCTATCATTATTAATCCAAAGGCATTTTAGGTTTATTGTTTTTCAATTAGCAACTTCATTTTCCCCGGGATCATAAACAAAGGGCTTTATGTTCGCAACAGGGATTTGGGGTTTTTTTATTATTATTATTTAATCTGTTTAATATCCAACTTGTAAAACTCGTGTGGTCACTTAAGGATGACGGATACTGTTATTATAATTTGATGGCTAGTGGGAACATTTCATTCCTCTCATCTTATTTCTTCGAAGACAGAGGGCTCCGGCTTGATCTCACCCGCTGATCTGTGGGTTCACTAGCACTATCTCCCTCGTTTTTTCTGCAGCTTAAGGGACGACGTACACTGCCTCTCCGCAGGCGGCGGGCCGGGCCCCGTTGCCCCGGGGCTGCGGCCGCCGTGGTTGCCCCGAGCGGCGAGGGGTCCTGCCGGGCCGCGCCGTCGGGGCGGATGAAAGGGGGCACCGCGGAGACCTCCGCGGCAGACTCCTTTCCCCTTCGTCTGTTTTCGCTCACATTTGCCCTCTGCGTCTGAAATCTCCCTCTCCGTCTAGGCTTTTTCTGCTCTTCCCTGTCCACCGGTTAGTCTGCATGATCTGCCCCTAGATCTGCTCGTATTCTTTTACCTGCTTCTTCCCTTCTTTTTAACCGCCTCTCTTTTTCTTTCATGTCTCCTCATTCTTTCCCTTCCCTCTCTACTGGGTCTGTCCCCTGTTCTTGAGCCATGAATGTATCCCTTCATCTTGCCGATGTGCTCGTCTGTGGCTTGTCGTGCTCTAAAGACGCCAACTTTCTTACAAACTTTACCTTGTGGGAGGTGTGGGAGGGAGTTAGGAGAGCAAAGTGGAGGAGATGAAAAGAGAGCCCCTCTCCCCTTCCCTGGACCCGCCTGCTGTGATCTGCCTCTCCCCACCTCACGAAGAAGTGGCTGTTTAATAGTCTACGGGAACTTTAGTTTGGAAGCAAGCAGAAGAATTTATAGAAGCTTTAAATGCGGCGCTTATAAAAATACCGAGGAATGGTCTTTGAGGTTTATGCACTCGTAAACTTTTGCTGATTGCTTCTGGGAAGTTGTCAGGCATTTAACACTGCGTTTATCTTACAGCGCAATGAAAACACATCTGCCCAGCGTCTCGTTACCTGGTTTAATTGTACCGCAGCCCTCTGCCACCAGCTCCTCCACACTTGGGTCATTATTTCGGGAAATGAGCATCCCGGAGCCGAGCTGCAGAAGGGCTGCTGCGGCAGCCCCAGAGCATCCCCCAGGCTCCGCTGTGAGCGGCCGGGCACGGGCCGTGCCGGGCGGGGCAGGAGGCAGGGGCAGGGGGGAAAGGACGCTGGAATGTCCCAGGATACAGATGAGAGCGGACAGCACGGCGATTGCTGATTTCCTGGGGCGTCTCTGGCAAGACCTGCTCGAGAGTTATTTTCCACTCCCCACCTGTGAGAGAAGTAAAATCCCTTTTCCCTCTTCCCAGGGATGGGTTTGCAGAGAAGTTTCCGTGATGAAAGACACTTTCCAAATTTTGCCGTCAGACGCCCAAGAGCTGAATGCAGACAGATTTTATTCAGGTGAAGTTAGTCTCTCCCTGCCTGCTCTGAGCAGAAGTACGGCGTGTGCCTGCTGCAGCCGCACGGCCCCGTAGCAAGAGGAGGGCTTGGGATTTTCCACAACTTTTCGGTCCTTCTTCCACTGGCTTAGCCCGAAGTCTCTTCTGCCTCTGACACCCCGAGCCTCGGGGAGATCAGAGCCGAGTGCAGCAGGGGCAGCCCCCCACGCAGGGTCTGGCCAGCTTATCCAGCACTAAGTCAAGCTCTCCAAAGAGAGCGCTTTCGTTTGCCGCAACTGCAGCTGTGCTGTCTTCTCTGTCAAGAAAACTTTATTTAAGTTCGAGGTGTAGAAAAAACCCAGTAAAAAGAAATAAAATTACTCTTCTCGCTGCATCCACTCCTGGTGCAAACAGGCTCAGAGGTGCCTGTGTGCTCAGGGGCAGCCCCAGGAGGCCGGGGGACTCTCCCGGGAGCTGTTCCCAGCTCCGGCCCGCCGGGGGCTGCGGCTGTAGGGGATGAGAAGGGGGCGATGCTCTCAGTCCCCGGGACTCCCGGAGCAGCTCCCCGGGGCAGGGGGAGCGGGCAGGGCGGGGGTCGTGGGGGTGCCTGTTTACAGCCCGGCTTGGGGAACTTTAGTGTGACGAGGGGCTGCGAAACAGAAGTAAGCATTTCCTCCGCTCCTGGTCCTTAGCGGGGGGACAAAAACGGCCTTGGTGAACTTGACCCACAGCGCAGCGGAGCTGACGCTTCTTGGGGTGAGGAAGGACACCCTGATATCCCGGCCCTGCGTCTCTGGGGTGACGGCTCGAGGTGTAAAGGAGAGTCTGAAGGGCTTCAGAGAGCTCAAGGGCACCTGAGGATTCCCGCGGAGATCCGCCCCGTTTTCGCAGGGTCCCCTTCGGGCTCCGCGGGGACCGACCGGCCCCGGCCCCGGCCCCGGCCGCTGAGCTCCCGATCCAAAATCCACAGCACCATCTCCTGGGCTTCGGCAGAAGTGCATGGCCCGCCTCGGAGGCGGCGGAGCTGGTGGCCCTGGTGGAGGGAAGGGACGAAGCCATAGGAAACTACATGAAAATGTAAA